AGGAGGCAGCCGATCAATGATTCTCTCTCATCATTGATGTTTCCATCTCTCTCTTCCTCTCCTTTCCTCTCTGAAATCAATAAAAAAATATTAAAAGCAGAAACAAACAAAATATTAAGGGTAATAAGTAGTTCTGTAGTGTAGGAATAATTTTTAAATGTATAGCAGAATTAGTAATACAGAATTTTTATGGCACCTGCATTAATATTTTTGCCACAGTAAATATCTACTGTTTTAATTTAATTTGCTCTCACATAAATGTTGTAATGAAGTAGAGTAACTATATTTTTATATTAAAGTTTCTTAAAATCCCTCTCCTTCCCCCCAAAAAACACTGAGGTTTAAAACAAAGTCAAGCATAAGTTCTGAAAAATGAGTTTTAGTATCTCAGTGTGGAAACATGTATATGATCTAGCTATGTCTTTGACTTAGATGGCAATCTTCTATTCATAAGCTTTGTGACTAATTATCACTGGGCTACGTATTCACTTTATTTTTAAGCTCCATATTGACAAAAAATTTATTTCATTATATAATCATATGGGATAGACTTCTTTACTTAAAAAGTGACAGAGTTAGTATAAATTTTTGAAAGTGAAGGAACTAACATCTAGCACTTTTATACAGGTGCAATAATCATTCTCAAAGTAGACTTGTAAGGGCTCTCCTGAGAGCATGCCCCTCCCTCTTCCTTTCCTTCCCCCACCTCCTCCCTGCCCCAGGCACCACACCATTAGCCTCCTCATTCCCAAGCTCCAATGGCACTTCCTTTACCTCCATAACTTGCAAATGTCCTTACAGAAAAAAAAGTAGACTTGTAAGAAGTTGACAATATCTTCATCTAAGAGCTGAATAGTTTTAGGGAGTTTAGGTCATTTATCCAAAAATGTACAATTAGAGGTATTGGAAGGGATTTAAAAAGAAAAATAGTTCCTTGCAGTGGGGTAAAATCCTCAAATATGGGGAAAGGGCAGATAAGGTAAATAACCACAGCAAGGGAGGGTGTAATAAGAATACAATAAGATTAGTTAGGGTCTGTGGCAAACTGGAGTGAAAAGTATTTTTCTATAATCCTATAGAATAAAAGGCTAATATACAAATCAACCAAATGGCAGAATGACCAGTTGGCAGACACTCAACACAGGAGCTGCCCCCTGGTGGTCAGTGTGCTCAGCCAGATGCCGGGCTCACGGCTGGCCAGCGCAGTGGTGTGGAGGAACCTTTCCTGCCTCCACAGCAGCACTAAGGATGTCTGACTGACGACTTAGGCCTGCTCCCCCAAGGGCTCCCAGACTGCAAGAGGGCACAGGGGGACCTCCCCCACCCCCGCGAGTGCACAAATTTCATGCACTGGGCCTCTGGTACATTCTATAATACATCATCTGTATATTGTATTGTGTGTTCATTGCCCCAAGTCAAGTTTCCTTACATCAATACATCCTGCCTCCTCCCTCCCCTTCACCCTCTCTCACCTTCCCCCAAACTTGGAATGAAAAGCACTTGTTAAAAGGGGCAATCACTTTATCTGTGTTTTCCATGCTGGAATCCTTATTTTTCAAAATCAACTGGAAATTTGGATTTTTGTATGAAATCTGGCTTTTAAATGTTGGTAGAATTTTACCTTTAACACTATAGGGCCAAACCAAACAGCCTCTGATTAGATTAGGAAGGGCACCGATTAGATTTCTTCATATAGCTAGATGTCTGAGGACTGCATGCAGAAACAGTGGTATTTTAAATAATGTGCACAGTACACATTAAGAGGAATAAGCTTAGTGCTTCCCAGGTTTGTTCTGACGGGCAGAGGGAGGACCTCTATTGTAAGGGAGAGATGGTGCCTTCTACACCCTTGTTCCAGCCTGTAAACTCATGTGGAAGACGGCCTTTTCTCTCAGGTGGGCTGGGTCAGGTTTTTAAATACAAAGTCCAGGATTTCTAGGTATATCCCCAAACCCAGGGTTTCTTCTTACCACCACGTAGCACATAAGTGAATATTTGAGGCAAAGCGCTAAGTAGAAGTGCGCTTCCCAAACTTCATTTGTTTGCAATTATTGTTGGCAAGGCGCTAGCTAGTTCTTAGTATAGCGAGCAAATTTCTAAGAAGGAACTCACGGGAAAACTGCTGGGAATTCCTGCTCTACCCCTGGATTCACTGTCCAGGGAAACCGTTCCGCGTTCACCGGTAACTAATGGCAACTCTGGGCTCCGGATGTGACGTTGGCGTCCTTCGGCTTCCGCCCACCGTCGGAACTCCGAGCTCTGGTTGTGGACGTGGAAGTAGCCGGCGCATGCGCACTGCGCCTAGTCGTCTGGGGTGGGAAGGGCTGGGGGTAGCCTGCGGCTCGGAG